TGACTCAGTAGTAACTATGACCAAAAACTTAAATCACAGAAATACAGGGTCATGTTGATGCTAAGCTACAAAATGTAACTGTCAGACTATGAGTCTATCTCTGTCACATGTAAGTTACAGGACCTTGCTGTTAGTCATGTGGCCTAACACTCAGCTTTTTCAATTACTTAACAATGCTTTTTCACTGAGATTTAAAATACAAAAAAAGAGGAAGAGTTTCTAAGGGTATAAGGCAGTATCTGGTTCACAGGTAGCAAGTAACAGGCGATAGCTTCCAGTCTTTCCTTGGACAGTTTCTTAAGGTAACTATTCCTAAGAGTTGAAATTTCTGATTTTTTTATAGCTACTCTCAATTGGTCTGAAGGAATTCTAATGAGAAGTTTTAATGGCAAAATCACTAGTAAAGATAAAAGAGTAGATGCTGGTCATGGTGGCACATGCTCTGTAATTCCAGCAACCAGGGGGGACCGCAAGTTCAAGGCCAGCATGGGTACATTAGCAAGTCGCTGCCTCAAAATTAAAAAATAAAAAGGATGGGGATGTAGTTCAACGGTAGAGCACTCTTGGGTTCAATCACCAGTACTACCACAGAGGGGGAAGCAGAGCAAGGCAGAAAAATGGGGGTGGGTGGTGAAGGTGACAGAACCTCAGAAATAAACCTATACCTATACGGAATGTCAAGGACTCAATACCACATGTGCACATCCTTGTATATAGTATGCTAACCCTCCCTGGTACAACCTGTACATTCTAGCCTTCGTGTCTTTCTGAATACGAATTATATACCTCACTAAAAAAAGATACATACTTATAATATTATCATTATTTTATATTCCATTTATTTATTTTTGGTACAGGGAATTGAACTCAGAACCTTGCACTTGCCAGGCAGCAGGTACTGCACTGCTGAGCTAAATCCCTGGCTCTCCTTTTATTTTAAAGAGGAGAAAACACAATTTCCTTATACTCTGGACAGGAGGAATCCTGACATGTGCATCTTTTTTTTTTTTTTTTTCTTTTTTTGTCTTTTCAAGACACGGTTTCACTATGCAGTTCACGTTCAG